CCTGTTACAAGAACGTGCGAAAAAGATCATGGTCAAAGAATAGTCAATTTTTTTGATTGATTCAATTGATTGTAACAAAACCCGGATTAACAGGCAATAAGGTGATGCTGTATGTATATGGGATTGGAAGGGCATCGTTTATTATGATGCCGCCTGGCAAAACCATCGATTCGGATCTCTACTGAAAACAACTAATGAGACTCATGCAAGAAATTGAGAAAAAACGGCCGAAATTGATCAACAGAAAAGGAGTAGCCTTTCATTACGATAACGCTAGACCACACACATCTTTAGCCACTCAGGAGAAATTGAGAGAGCTTGGTTGGGAAGTGGTAATGCATCCACCATATAGTCCGGATCTTGCACCTTCAGATTTTCACCTGTTTCGGTCTCTTCAGAATTCTTTGTGTAGTGTTAGGTTAATATCAAGAGAGGACTGTCAAAACACTTTTTTTGATCAAATATCCCAAGATTTCTAAAGCAACGGGATTTTGTCACTATCTACAAGATGGCAACAAGTTATCGAACAAAATTGCGCATATATATATGCGCAATTTTGTTCCGTAGGCCGTAACAATATATATACTCCCTACGGCTGCTCCCATAAAGGTTCAATCCTCCGGGGCCCATCAGCGGAGTTTCAACGAACAGACGTAGGTCGGGCCTCCTAAGGCCAAAGTGGAAAATCTCTAATTACACTAAACAATAAAGGGGAGCGTTCTATACTACTGCCATTCAACAGGGAGAATATTAAGCGGAGCTTACTTACCTATATCCAAGGCGACTGGTCCCTCAGGGTTCGGTCAGGTCGCATGAGGTTGTATGGTGCATGGGAAGTAAGGGTCAGTGATGTGTATCTGGGTGTGACTGAGTGTGGTAGACCTTATGAGACCGTTGCCGTCGGCAGCAGCTCGGACTTCAGCACCGCTCCAAATTGTGGTAACCTTCCGCGGAGTCGTCCACCGTCACTTTCTTCGTTCGTCACGAGGACAGTCCTATTAGCTTCATTGTACATTTAACTAACTTAAAGAAGCCACAAACTCTAATTTGTTATAAAGCGTAACACCCAAAACAAATACAGAATGTCGGTCTATACGAAATCCCGTTACTATAAGCAAAAACGTAACACACCGCACGAGCAATTAATATTGTCAAATCTTAATTGCTTATATACGCTATCAGATTAGAATAACCCAATTCGCGGTAAATTAGGCGCGCCTAACACGCAATTCAGACTTTGATCGCAGTCAATGTTAACTTCCTAACAATTTGTCAGCCCGGCGTCGAATTCTAGACTTAACAAAGAAACCTTCGTCGTGGCAACGTCTGCTAACAAAACCGACTCCAAAATGGAGGTTTCCCGGGCGTCCTTAAACGTGCTCTCGATAGCACAGTATTATAGCAACTGTTCGACTCGACCCCGCCGCCGGTAGGAAAACTCTCTCAAAAAAAAATAAACTAAAACGTCAATGCTGTAACAAAACTAGAAACAATGTTTGGCGTATTCTTTAGAAAGATCTGTGTCAGGCTGTGCATTTCAAAGAGACAGATGATCCCATCATCATCAATTATTGTCATATTACCTGTGACTTTTAATCTATAAGCTTAGAACACAACGAGTGCATTTAATTTGGCGTGCATGTACACATTACTTGCTGTCGATATAGTCATTCTATTGTTATCAAGATAATATAAAGTTCTTAAAATTAATAACTGAAGCTTTTTATGGTAGCAACGATAACTTATCGAAGTGCCAACCCTATCATAATCCACTTGAAGCGATAAGTTAGAAACCGCGAAAATTTAACTAGAGACCGACTCACGATTACTTCAGTATCCTTGTTGAATCCGCTTGTGATATACCCCCTGGTGAGTTAAATGAGTATTATGTTTCATAGTAATGTCTAACTCTATCTAATTTTAATTACTTACTTGTTTTTTCTATAGTGTTAAAAGTTTAAAGTAATAGGTTTATCGGCTATTTCTGTCATAGTGGCGGTGGATTTTTGTCTTATGGTTTATTTAAACAATACAACTTTATTTTAAGGATATGAAAGTAAACAATACCAAGAGGCTACGCTGCTTTTAATCTTTTAATCCCCAGGGAATGGCGTAGCTAGGCGAGGGCGAAGTGGGCCCTCGCCCACGGCCTCGCCTAGCTACGCCACTGCCTCGGGATAATGTCGCCAGACTTTACCACAGTTGATTAATTAATTTGATAACTTTTACGCTCGAAAAAGAACATCACAAATTTAAAAGCGTGATTGTTTAGGCCGTCGCAAGAAGCCCCACTTAAGTGCGAATGAGAGGCCATTGTAACCTAAGATGTTTTTAATCTTTTTTAATACGTCTTTGATTGTAACTACCTTCAAAGACAGCGATCGTTAGATTGACGGAATACAAGACTTGTAGGTATGTTGTGTCAAAGCATGTATGGTAGGACAGATCTATTGGGTAGATCTCGGGAACGAAAAAAAGGGGCCTCGCTGATGCGACTTCGCCTACGTCTATATTAGTCCACGCTACGCCTCTGTCCCGAGGTTCATAACTCGTGCCATATTTCCGAGCCACATAAATAGTATATATTAATCCGGTAAACAAACTGTAACTTCCAAAAGTTTGAGTGAACAAGGTCGTAGAACTGCTCTTTCTTTCTAGAAGTCCCCCTAGGTAGGTCTTATCTAATTCTACTGCCAAAAGCAGTGCTTACTCTGCTGTTTTCCGATCTGAAAAGTATAGAGACCACAAGCTATAAGGCATTCCATCTTAACTCTCAGAGGTGACAACAAGATGTGACAATAGCATTATTTGTTTGGAATTGATTGCAGGTGTTCGTAGGCTGCCATAGCCACTTAACAGCAGTTGAACTGTAAGTTTGTTTGTCGTTTCAGTTTTATAAATAAACAACCTTTTAACTCCCTTCTCGTCTTAATACAAAAAATAGGAATTTTATTTATTTTTTATAGTTGAGAAATACATATCTCGGAAACTAAGCTAGATATGAACAAAAAGTTATTACTTTTCGGCGTATCTCGTCGACATCTATGCTAATCCGCCTTCAAATCGTGGCGCCGTTAGAACCAATTATATATTAGTCTATGGTTAGAACCGTAGTCGTGCTATGGGATGGGATATGCTAGAATGATTTTATGGATTCCGATAGATGGCGGTGGCGGTGGCGGTGGCGGTGTAACTATTTTGTTTACGCCAAACCACAGAATAAATAATAGTACTAGCCAAACGTAAAAAAATACCAAAACCGGCAACGGAGCCTATTGGTATACCTACTACGATTATCAATCCGCCTGCCAAGCGTTACTACTAAAGTACCTAAATATTCCCTTTAATACGAAAGGCTCATATCCATCCATTGAGTTATATGTACACATATATATCGATGTATCCATCACTGAACTCTTCCAAGCTGACGATGATGAATAAAAATAAAAGCTATAAGTACCTACCTACTTTCGTTAAAAGTTTATTATATAAGAGTATAATAAGTCAATTTTTGTTTCAGATTCCATTTAAATAGAACATAATGTCTCTCGACGAGGTGAGTTTGCCCATTTGCTCTTTTTTTTTTGCGTGTATGTATATAAACTTTACCTACGTGCACTGGCCTTAAAATAAAAATAAAATCTTTATTCATGGCGCAACCTATACTTAATTTTTAAATAAGATAAAAATAAAAGAAAGAAATTATTGTCATAGTTAATTTTTTCATTTAGAATTTATTCTAAATGAAAAATTTATTTAGAATAAGCCAGTGCTTGACTCCAATTCCACCTAGAGGTGAATAACTGATTAGACAGTGTATTGCACCGCCTAAGCGTAACCAAATGATAAACTCTGCAAGCATTGCTCAGTGGTACTGTCAGTATACTGCCAGTATAAGTTGTGCGATGGAGAAAACTGAATGCCTCGTTTCCAGTAAAACGGGTCTCCGGTTCTCTACACTCACCATACGAAACAGCAGCTCTAAGCTGCTATTTTCGCTGTTGTTCTGTGAGAGCGTGGTCCTTCCCCGGTCGAGCTGACCCATTCGTGTTATACCAGTAATATAGCTGTAGCATGGCTCTACCACGTAAAAGTATTAAGTAAAACAATGTGCAAAAGTAAATATTAAATATGTAACCTCAAGGCAAGGCCTTCCTTTACCTTTTTAAAATTATACGTCTTATTTAATTATACCTATTTAGGTAATTTTATGTCTGTTGAAATTACTAAGTAATTATATTTTTAACAAAGAAGTTAAAGGTTTATCTGGGAACATTTTCATACAGAAACTGTGACCTCGAACACCAGTAACGCTATCAACTTCATATAGAAAAACTTGTGAGGTAACAGGTTAGTGAGGTGAACTAAGATGATCTTTAATGCTGTATCGCTTATAAGTGAGCGATTGTATTTTATGGGCGGCCATGTCGTTCATCAGATTTCGGTAAAACTTTATCAAGCTTGCACTTCCGCGAAGGTTATAGGCATAATACAATTAAGTTACAGTAGGTGGCGCGCGTGTCGTAATGAGACATTTCTTTGATATAACTTTCAAATAAATTTCAATGAATGTAAATATCATTCATAATGAAACAATATAACTCGTCCAAATTTAAAACGACATTTTCAAATTATTCCTTCTGCGATAGCAACGCGCCGTGTACCAGCTAGTATTAGAATAAATAATACCTACGAGTACAGGTTATTCACAGACAAATTTGTTGTCTAACAACTCATTATTTGTTCACGTACCTACGTTTTTAAAAAATTGTTAGGTAATTTTAATTTTAATTAAAGAACAATTTCAAGGTTCTTCAATAGTTTATTCCTTATCTTTAGAACTTAATGTTAATTTAATATGTCTGAATATCTTTTACGGAATACTTGTGGCTCTGTTACAAATGAAGTGATTTGCCACAAACAAAAAAGTTTATAATATTCCGTGATATTTTCGACTTTGCCTGAAAAAAAAGAAAGATTAATTTACTTTTTTTACACAGCAATTCAAAAAAGTCGCCGACAACGTCAGGAACTGGAACAAAAAGCCAGCAGACAGTGAGAACCTGGCCCTCTACTCTCTCTACAAGCAAGCACTGTTCGGAGATGTAAACATTCGTACGTATTGAAACTTGTTTACCAGAATATTATATTATATTGTGGACGAAAGCAGTTACTAAAAAATCAACACAAAAATGTTTACCATCCGCTCTACCGAGATCAACGTGTCTTACGTATGTAGACTATGAAAGCCTTTGATTCAGACTAAATTTGCTACTTCCCGTCCATTTTCTGTTATCTCACAGTCCTTTCAGCGATGTCCAGTTTACCGTCGGTATATTGAAGTGCTGAAGTGTTTGTAGAGTAAGGCTACGATGGCTATCCGAGTATAGAAACAAAATACTAAATCTAACCAACTGCAGAGAGGTGTAGTAGATGGTTCATGAAAACTCATCACTGCTGCATCGGAAATTTGACAAATCCATCATATGTATTCATCTTGTTTATGCCAGATATAAAATACCTAGACCGCCGACAACGATCAACAGTGTTAAAGGTGTAAAAAGCAAAAAAGACATAATTAAAAAAAAGATGATATGCCACTAAAAATTGTTTATCTATGTTTTTACAGCCGAGCCCAGCGGCATGGTGGAAAAGGCAAAATGGAACGCGTGGAGTGGTCGTAAGGGCATGTCGCAAGACGACGCCAAGAAACAATACGTTGAGATGGGCGAGAAATTACATTCTAAATACGCATAAATTGTTTTATATTTAAGGTTATTTATTATTTATTTAACCAATTAGTTGTTAAAAGATATTATACAACTCAAATATTATTTTTCTCATTTGTTGGTATGTCAAAATTCAATTTTGGAACAGTAGGTACATATTGTCAAGCGGATTTTTTAAAAATAATAAACTTTAAAAATTAAGTGGATTTTATTTTTCTTTTGCTCTAGAGCTCTGTACTCGTACGATGGTTCTATGAATGATTGAATTTAAGTAAAATATTACCCTACAGTACTTTTCACAGAAAAGAGTGGATTTCACTCTAAGAACTAAATCTAGTGATGTTGACGTTGAGTTGGATTATTTTTTGTTGCTTTTGCACTGTAGTCTAAGTAAAGTAAGTGCAATATTAAAATTAATAGACAAGAATATGTGACATAGTCCATACATCAATTTTGTATTTAGTTTTATAAAGTTAGCCTATTTTTATTATAAATGTGAAGTGACAAACGAATTTAGTCTATCTGATGGTATGTGGTTACTGCAGTCCATGGACACCTGCAGCCAACTTCAAACAAAGAAGGCTACAGATGCTTTGTCACCTCTGAGGACTAAGATGGAATGCCTTACAGCCTGTAACTATACTGACTCTCAATACTCTTCAGAAAGGAACACAGCAGTGCAAGCGGCGTATTTGGCGGCAGAAATAAGTTAATACGTCCTACTATCTAGTAATTAAACGCCTAGAATAAGCAACACGACTCGTCGTTAAAACATTACAGACGAAGAGCTGTCAAGATAATGCAAATTAGATGCAGTTCCAGTAAGTATATTCGTATATTTTCCTCGTATTATTTATATTTTCCTTAATAATATAAGGAACTCCTGCCTTCCTTCTATTATTAAGGAAAATATAAATAATACGAGTATATACGTCGGAAATACATTAAAATTAAGAGATTCTATTTATCTATTTACAACTTTCACCTCCTATCTGTTATATAGATTCTTTACATTGCTTTACACCGCGATATGGAAACATTCGTGATCGAGCAGTGTTTTTGAGGTGTTTTAAATAGTAAATGTGTATGCCGTTAAACTTATATTTAGGTATTAACACGTCATTGGAGCAATCCTGCCGGTCTTCGAAGCCTGGATAACGTGACGATTGGTCGACTGGGAAGACTTACTTACAGACTTACACAGCCTAATTGTCGAAAACAGATTATTCGGTAAACGACGAACTAGGATGTCCACATCAGATTTCGAACTTTGGACGTTTGGACGTTTCGCGAGGATGTGTGATTTATTAAAAAAAAATGCAAACTGCACCTTAACACCCGTTACTTCCGCAGGTGGGATTACGGCATGCTCAGCGTCCGTATCAAAACGAAAGCGAAGAATTATAATGAGGTGTAGTTGCATGCTAAAGTTGTGCCTTTATACCTCTCCATCTTTCTTATATTTTTATCTGTCCAATCCTCTGTATGATCTTAGAGTTGGTGTAAGGCTACCATCCGGCCGGATTTCCCTGCATTTGTAAGAATTTAAAAAGCGTCCGAATAATATCCGACCGAAGTTTTTATGATGTGTTAGGGAAACTAGTTTTCGTGAACAGTTCATCACTCCATATATGGTAAATGAAATCTACTGAACATGATACTTCTGACGCAATTGTTTGGATCAGGAAGTCTAAAAGCTTATGTTCTAAACAATTATTTATAAACAACCTTTTAGGATGATCAATATAAAGATATATTCAGCTGTACTTGAATCTTGCGACCCCATTCAGATATAAAATAATTAAGTACACAATCCCGTTGTCACGTGTCAAAAGATAATTTTTATTATGATTTCCTCATATCCTCATCGCTGAGGAAAAACTGCTTAAGTCAGACACGCACTGACAAAAACTCCATGATGTTTAGTTTTTGCTGCATATCGACAGTGCCTGATATGTCGGTATGGTTATAGCTATTATATCTGTATCATGCTTACGTCAGATGTAAAATACCCGAACCTGCAACGTGGAGTAAAGAGCCTCAAACGTGCTAGGTGTCAGGATATGCAATCTCGAATGCGTCTGCCAAACGTGGTGATATAAGAATATTCTTTTTACGACGGGAGATGCTACTGCAAAAAATCTGCTGAGTTCAAATTAATTTTATTTTAAAAACATGGAATTCTTTTCCTAAATTAGTAATTTGTTTATTGATTTGCGTTATGTTTTTATCGCATTTGAATATTTTTCGTCATCATGGATACGTTAAAAATTCGAGTAATTATGGAATATGTGTACTGTTGTGGCAACAACGCGATATAAGCAGCACGAAACATCAACGACGTTTAAGGAGCGAATATTTCAAACGAACGAACCAACTGTTATTGGTTTGTCCGCTTCCGTTAGGAAAATTTCGACCTGAAAATAAACCCCGTGGTCGTCCGAAAACTTTGGTCGACAATGATGAATTAAAGGGGGTTCATTTGCGTGAAATTAGCAAGGTAATAACTTAAATTGAAAATAGAACCCCGACGCAGCTAGTTAAACTGATGACATTGAAACGGTAGAACGGTTTTGATAAAACATGTCTAAGAACCACCGCTAGAAAACCTGCTTTTAAATAAAAAAAAAATCCGTAAATCGGTTCACACTTTAAGATTAGACACACAGGAGACACAGACAGACATACACACATAGCGGTCAATCTTATAACACCCCTCTTTTTTCGTCGGGGGTTAAAAAAGCTTGACAAATGGGTGCCCCCGCACTCAAATGTTCGCCTGCGCGAAGTGCGCGTCGAGATGTGCCTTGCACGGCACGGCAAACAAACGAAGCAATTTTAAACCGCATTGTTACCTGCGACGAAAAATGGATTGTGTTTGACAATCGCAAGCGCTCAGCGAGTTGGTTGAATCCGGGTTCAATATTTAAACAATGCCCTAAACGAAAACTTACCCCTAGAAAAATGATAGTCACTGTTTGGTGGTTTATGATGAGCATTACTGTAGATAGCAATAGCAATAATGAGAAAGTTCGCACGTCTCCAACCAGTTTGGTCAATCGCTCGTCCCCGCTGCTCCTGCACGACAGCGCGCAACCTCATACTGTATAACAAACGGTCTCCAAGTTACAAGAGCTATGGTTGGAAGCTCTCCGTCATCCGCCGTACTCACCAAACTTTGCGCCAACAAACTTCTACTTTTCCAGAATTTGGATAACTTTATGGCGAGAAATAAATTCAATACCCGAGAGGCAGTACAAAATGCCTTTGAAGAATTTGTTGCCTCCTGTACAGCTGATTACTTCAACAAGGGCATCTATAAACTGCCACTGCGTTGGCAAAAATGCATCTATTGCATGGGTGATGATGAAATAAAAAATATAGAAAAAAACATTAACTTATTTCATAAAAAACAGCAAATTCATTGGAAAAGATCTAATATTAATGGAAACGATGGAGCAAGTGCTCCGATGGTGATACAAACCTTAACCGCTAAGGTGCCTTGACATACTATCCTCATCAACTGTCCGCTGAGTTAAATGTAGTCGAAATCTCTCAAAAACTAAGAAAATTTTCAAGAATTTTGTGAACAAATAATATACGTCCGACTACGACGAAAAATACGAATAAAAATACACAGTAGGCTGTGTGGACATAGATGCCTTTGCCTTTAAATAAAAAACAACAAATTAATTAACCTTACTTTTTGTTTTTGCAACTTTTTGTTTTGTTTGGTTGATTGTATATTGTCAATATTTACTCTTTTACAGCGTTTTAAATTAAACAATAGTATAAAAATATTCATTTAAAGAATTCAAGTTTTTTTATGACAATAAAATTCTACCATTGTACCGTTGAAGTACCACGTCACGGTTTCTTCCGATTTCTAGCCGAGCCGCGTCCGATGATCAGTTGATCAGTCAGTATAACTTCGTATTCGTAGTGTCAAGGTTTGGTACCTGCTTTTATTTATTTTTCTAATTAATATTTATTTATCAGTCAACCATTGCAAGTGCAGTCAACAACAAGCGTTGGTTTCAAGAGGCTGTTTCACGTGTTGTAGTAAGTTTTTTAATATCTCTAACTTACAAGTTATTACGTCTTTCATTTAACCTTAAATAATGAATTTATAACCGGTTCACCGGTTAGTTGGTGTTTCTTGAAATTATTAGGTATTAACTGGTCGTGTGTTAACATTGTTTTTTGTTTCAGATACTATATTATTAAACCGTCATGTCCCTGCAAGAGGTAATTGTATTTCATTTGAATAAAATGGTTAAACGGAAAATAAAATTTTAACTATAGTTCAAAGGTTCAAACATAATTTCCAATTGTAATGAACTTTTCATTACAGTTGGAAATTACATTAATATCTAATACATTTTGATTCTATTTTTTAAAGCGAATTTAAATATTTATTATTTTGGACATCATACTACTTTTTGAATATTTATTTTCATAAAAAGATGAGAAAATTGATTTGCCAAGTTCTGAATGTCAAGGATAAAGAAAAAAGATAATTTTCATATATTTAATATAATGAATTTCCACAAGTAACTTTTCATACTTTTACTTATACTAAATCATTTTACTTAGTGAGATAGTCTAGAATCTGCAAGAGAAATCTGCATAATTTTATTTATAGAACTGAGAACATTTTTGCATATTTTCACTGGATTAATGTTTCATCCAGTAAAATAATTAAAAAAAATGTGGTTTTCTAGCTTAGAAAGTTTATTAAAACTACTTCATCAACAATTTTATCTTAATATTTCTTTTTAACATTAATTATCATATTTACATAGCTGAAAAATTGTATGACATTTATTACAAGAGGAGGTAGCACCCATTTTCAGAATGTTATTATACTTACAATTATCTTTTATTAGTGATAACTGATAATAAAAGAATGCCTTTTATTTCAGCAATTTGATCAAGCTGCTGCAAATGTGAGAAATCTGAAGTCCCTTCCCAGTGATGCAGATTTACTTGAATTATATGCACTTTTCAAACAAGCTACAGTAGGAGATGCTGATCCAGCGAGTAAGTGTTCAACTTTGATACTGTTTATGGATTTTTAATTGTTAGTCTAGTGTATAAAGTTCATTATGATAAAATAAAGATATCCCTATTTTTTTTTGATATTCGACACCACAACATTAAGAATTTGTCTAAAGATCTTAAAAATGAATTTGCCTAGTATAAAGAGATGGTAAGACACACCATTTTATTTTATTACGTGGATATAAGCAAATAAATTTTTAAGATTTTTAAATAATGGATTTCCGCAAAGTAACACCTGATTCTATTCATTTGTCTAAGTTTAATCGTGTAGCCTATTGAATATAATAATACTTGTTAGAGGAAAGAAAAGGACAATGAATATAGAAATGTTATGAGTCAGCCGTGTAATGGCTTTGTAAGACATTCCACTATCTCTAGCTTTCCTGCTCTAATGAATGAGTGAATGTGGAGTTGTTTTTTTATGTGGTAGAGCCATGCGACAGCTTTATTTAGTTGTATCACGACTGGGTTGGCTCACAGAATACCAGCGTAAAATAGCTTAATACTGCTGTGTTTCATATAGTGAGTGTGGAGAACTGAGATTTATTAGAAAATAGGCATTTCATGTTAGTGTCTTCAGGGGTGACAACGCATCTGCATTTTGACTCTTAATCGAAGATAGATGTAGATGTCTATGGACCACAGGAACTACTTACAATCAGGTGGACTGTGTGCTCGTTTGTCACCCTTATTCTATAAATAAAAAAATTGAAAACTAAGAGATCTACCGAAACTTAAAAACTAATTCATCCACTTACATTTAAAAATTATAACTTAAACATTAAGTTATGAAACATATTATAATAAAACATGTAAAATCTGTTTAAAAATTTACAAGTAAAAGAACCATAAAAAGAAAATCTGGGTTAAGCAGAAAATAATTTTGCAGTGCATTGACCATTAACATACTTTCACAAATCTACATTTGTGGTAAATAACAGTTACTTTATCTTTCGTGCACAAATGTATTATTGTGAAGTACCAAGTAAATTGAATGTTCTTATAAATTTATTCAGTTGTTAATAATCATCTTACAAGTTTCTATGTTAAATGAATTGTAATATTTCTCTAAGTGTGTGATCTTAATTCTCAGATATTACAGTTATGTATTAAGTACTAATTACAAATAAAGTATTTTAAGACAGTGTGCAGTGGCAATGTAATAATATTCACTACTCCATATATTTTCCCGCGGGTGTCTTAAAAGGCGACAGACAGAGACAAACTAGGAAATTTCTTCCTTATTACCCATCTAACAAGTAAGGCAACTATAACTATAATGATAAATATCCCTCTATGAGGCAATTTATGGTGGAGACAGGCTCAGCCGTGGACTTATCTATATATCTATTTCACATAATAATGTACAACATTAAAAGTACATATTGTAATAATATGTATATAAATCGCGACTATTTGCATGTAAAAGGGCTACCAGTGTAGCCCTTTTACATGCAAATAGTCGCGATTAAGGTGAATCATGCTGTGTGAGAAGTAGCCTAGTTTCGATAAAAGATGTGCTACCTCTTTTATGAAAACAGACCAATAAGTTAAGTTTACGACGGGCTATTTTCCGCAACTCCACGTCTAAGCACGGTATTTTGCGTGTGGGCAAGAATATTCGAGCTATAAAATCTCCTCGAAGAAGCTCAGCAATCCCTTGATGTTGTCAGCAACTTCTGGGAGTGATCTCGGCGTGCCGAGATGTTTACAAGTCGCGGCACACAAGTCTAGCGCTGAATGAAACGTGGAGGGGACGCGCACGAATTGAATCGTACATATGCGACTAGAAAGCTAATCAACGCGTGCGAACGATAGGCACGAGCCAATCAGCGCGAATTATGCGCAATAACGGTCACAGCTAGACTTTCGTTCCGCTACTTATAGTTCTGTATGCAACGACCTCTGGACATGCCAAGTTAGACCAATAAAAAATTCCGAGTTTCTAATCATAATATTGTGTATAAGAATTAATTGCATCACTGTGCAACAAGTTGGGCTTGTTATCTGAAATTACCATTATCGACCTCATTAAGGCTTCATATTACCGTGTACAAGCATTGTTAGCCCTTTAATTTTCCTGTTTTTGCAAGTTACTTGTTGAGAGGAAAAGATGTTTAATGAGGAAACACACAAATTTATCATTATCAGTGGCTATAAAATTAAAACTGAATTTAAACCTAAGTAGGTGTATAATAGATTTTTTTTGTGCGAGTGGTTGAGGGTAGTTAACTCAGATCTTTTTTTCGTACAGAAGTAACATTCAGTATAATTATGGTCCCTTTATGTAGTTCTCACATTTGGCAAAGCAACTGCTAAAACAACTAAAACTTTAGTTTAATTATTATTTTATAAAGCAAAAAATATTTATTAATATAAAATAATAAATAAATAATATCTATTAAAATAAATACATAGCAGAAATAAATAGTAATATCAGTCAACTTAAACCGCGTGTGAAGTACTACATGGACTCATTTTTGTTGCATGGGAGGAACTCTCCGTGGTGATCTTGGATATTTACGAGACCTTTTTTATATGATTGACCTTATTTATATTTAGGATATTTATATGACCCCATCTATCTGAAGCTATAAAATCGTTCGGGCATTTGCCATAGTCCTATGTTACGTAATCCATGGCGAAATAATTACTTTAAACATGGTAGAGCCATGCTGCAGCTATATTAGTAGTATAGTTGTAGCACGAATGGGTCGGCTCGACCGGAGAAAGACCACGCTCTCACAGAATACCAGCGTAAAATAGTAGTTTAACACTGCTGTATTTCGTATGGTGAGTGTAGAGAACCGGAGACCCTTTTTACTGGAAAAGAGGCATTCCAACTTAGTCCTCACGGGTGACAACGCTTCTGCATTTTGATTCGCAAACGAGGATAAATGTAGATGTCTATGGGTCACAGCAACCACTTACCATCAGATGGACTGTGTGCTCGTTTGTCACCCTATTCCTATAAAAAAAAATGTTAGATATTTATATCTTGACGATGGAGAGGGGCGTTTCAGATTCGAAGGATATGAGACAACTCGTTAATATCCCTAATTTTTTTATAGAAAAATAAGGGTGACAAACAAGCACATAGTTCACCTGATGGTTGGATGCTGGCCTAAAGACATCTACATCTATTCTCGATAATAATTAAAATGCAATTGCGTTGTGCCACCCCTGAGAACTAAGATAGATATATGTGAACTATCCTAATTAGTGACAGCCTTGTCCAGCAATTGTATTGTCATTAGACCTGCTGCATTTTCTGCCGACTTCCAAAAAGGAGACGGTACTCAATTCGACGCGTGTTTTTTTTATGTGTGTTACCTCATAACTTTTTACTGGGTGGACCGATTTCGATGATTCTTTTTTTATATGAAAGCTGATACTTCTCGTGTGGTCTCATATGAATTTGATCAAGGTCAGACGAATAGTTTTTGAGTTATTTGAGTTATTCTTAATAACTTATATTGAAGTCGGCTGTACAAAATTTTTAATTTTAAATTATTGGAGTGTGTGGTGTGTAGTTGTTCAGAATGCTTCACTGTATGATGACGTTCCATTATACGCTTTTATATTATAACTAGCTGTTCTCCGCGACTTCGCCCGCGTGTAATTTAGGGTTTTAACTATGCTGCGCGGAACCCTAATTATTTTTATATATTTTAAAATTAAAATTTTGTACAGCCGACTTCATTATAAGTTATTTAAGAATAACTCAAAAACTATTGGTCTGACCTTGATCAATTTCATATGGGACGACACGAGAACTATCAGCTTTCATATAAAAAAAGAATCGTCGAAATCGGTTCATCCAGTACAAAGTTATGAGGTAACACACATAAAAAAACATACAGTCGAATTGAGTACCGTCTCTTTTTTAGAAGTCGGCAGAAAATATAAATAGCCAAAGTTACTCCTTATAATATTAGCTATCTGCCAGTAAAAGTCCCATCCAAATCGGTCCAGCCGTTTCGGAGATTAGCTGGGACAAACAGACAGACAGACAAAAATGTTAAAAGTTGTGCTTTTGTTATAAGTACCGTATATACTTTCATATGCATTTAGTAAAAAGCTGTTATTTTGACATTACAAACAGACACTTCAATTTTATTTATTTGTATAGATTCTTAACCCAGCTGTTGTTTATACGAAAATAATTTTATGGATTTTTATAATTGCGTTTTGTAACAACACCTTCTACAAATTATGTGTGAAAATTACAGTGTTTTTTGTTTTGTTTTTGGTAATTAAAATTTTACGTATTGTCTGTGCAGTTAACCTTCACATACAATTGTCTTAACTTTGTCGCCTTTATATAACTGTAGTTAAGAAATTTAGTTTTTAACCAGTTTTAAAATAGTAAAGTCTGGCTTATGAATTTTTTCAACTAAAACCAGTTTGTCGTTTTCAATTTACATATAATATAATATTTTACTTTAAAAAGCACAGATTAATAAACAATTTTACATATACGTCGGTTAAATCGCGTGTTTTTTTTTTATAGGATAGGGGTGAGAAACGTGCACATAGTCCACCTGATGGTAAGTGGTTGCTGTGGCCCGTAGACATCTACATCTATCTTCAATTAAGAATCAAAATGCAGATGCGTTGTCACCCGTGAGGACTGAGATGGAATGCCTCGTTTTCAGTAAAAAGGGTCTCCGGTTCTCTACACTCACCATACGAAACACAGCAGCATTAAGCTGCTATTTTACGCTGGTATTCTGTGAGAGCGTGGTCCTTCCCCGGTCGAGCCGACCCATTCGGGCTACAATCATAATATAGATGCAGCATGTCTCTACCACGTATGAAATTGCAATTGCGTGTAATTGTAAATCTCTAATATTCTGAAATATTACCTAATGCTGGATAGTCTGCAGGAGTCCAAGTTCGAGTACTTGATAAAAAGAATTATAAAAGAGACTCTTTTATATTTCTTTTTATCGTCGAGTACATGTTAACTATTTGTATGTTACACGTTAGTCATTCCATCTCTGCCACAATCACAATATTATAAAGTACTTAAATTATTTACAAAATGATTTAGGACTGATTATTCAATCACCAGATAAAAGTTATCCATCAAATTGATTATAATCCGACCGAATATAAAAGTGAAGCAATTGAACGATATACTTTATTCATACAACTGGAGTTTTAAACTTGTTTGTGTTGTATTTTTATGATATATAAATAACTTTTATCTGTCGATTCAAAAATCGATACTTATCTGAATAACTGTTATGACTTTCACGAAAAGAACATGTTTCTATAGGATCCTCCAGACAGAATTTCGGTCACGGTGACCAGTCAGAACATGGACGGGCTATTTGCGCAGGATAGAATAGTATTGCATGAGTGCTTGCGCAAGCACAGGTGCACTCTCTATTTCCTATCTATTTCCTCACTCTCATAGTCCAAAGGGAATGCAATACGACACGACTGGATAGAGATCAGGCGTAGGATCAATAATTTTACGTGCTTTATGAAGCACGGGGGTGAACGTCGCCAACTTCCCGACTTCGACCTGCTACCGAAAATTTATTGATTGAAAACCTCAATAATTTATTGGCCCGTTCATTTTGTTGTCATTTTCATTTTGTGGCCGTTGTCAAGTTTGGCAGATGGGTTTTTTTTTCTAGTCGTTATAAGCAAGACGCAGTTGCCCATCGCCTTGATTGTTTTGCTCTATCGCTTCTTACAACACCCACAATACGATACGGGCTAGTGGGATATTCTTACAGCGCCACTTCACGGTTTGTAGAAAGACTGTAGCAGAAGCTTGTGACAGATATTTTTGAATTTTTTTTTTTAGTGAATCTCTCATACAAAACAAAATAGAATCATAGGTACTTGATTAAAAATGTGTTTGTATTGTTAAAGTTTTTACGTTAATGCTCAAACTTGGAACAGGTCATTCAAGTCGCGATTATAATATTTAAATAGTGGGTACCAAAGAGAATATAATCACTACGTTTGTGGGTACGCTTGTCATTTCTTTGACTTGTCATTGACCCGGTTTGGATACGGACTTTATTTTTTTTTCCGCTTATAAGCTTATAACAGTCAAACTTGGAAAATACATTTCGTTGTCCAACAGTCTATTACGTTTCTAGTTAGAAACATCGTAGTAATTGTGTAGTATACAACATCTTTAATAAATGACTACATTGTAAAACTTAAATTTGTTACTATTAGCACAGAATAAATAATAATACAAGGACTATTAGTAGTGTCTTAAAACTTAGTCGATTTTCAACTTTATGATAAATTCGATTTTTAGTATTATGAACAAACATACGAAAAGGTGATTATTTGACTTCAAAACCATGACGTCATTACATTGTATTTTTAAACAAGTTTGATTCGTACCTGTTTGTTTTGACAGCTCATAGACAGTATTTCAATTGAGTATGAATGTCTTGTATTTAATTATGATGTAACGTTTTCTTTTTCACTTGTGGAGTTACTTAACATATTAAATCCTACATCTTATACAATGCTAGAAGTTGCTATGTGATGACGACGACGATCCAATAGATGTCAGTGTAACCATCTCGTTTACCTCAGACGTAAGATACGCAGACCGACGGATGCGTCGGTCTGCGTATCTTACGTCTGAGGTACACTACGGGGAGCAGATAATGGTACCAGGCTTCTGGTATTACAATCGTCAATTCGCCTGCAATTACGGCGAATCCTTACAACCTCGTTCCATATCCAACACTGGAAGTTTATGGGCTGATGAAGAAGACGAGATCTTCATATCCAGCTGAAAAAATCCTCGTTAATTATACAAATTTCTCTTTGCTTGCGTACTTGATTTTCTGGATAAAATAACATTTAGTTCTGTATTATTTTTTTATTTACTTAATAAAAGTTAAAAATATGTTTTATTTATCGAGACTGTTCAAACGTCTCGTGGTTTAAATTTTTATGTTTCGCATTTATTATTAAAGCTTTCCGTGTCTGTCTCCGAAATTCATCATCAGGTCTTTACGAAATTTGAATGAGACCATTTCAGAATAAACCTCTGGCGAAGAAAAAAGAATTTTTCAAATCTGTCTATACATATATTACGGAGTTATATTCGATAATACAAAAAAATGTATAAACATCCGAATTGAGAACCTCCTCCTTTTTGAAGTTGATTAAAAAGTAGAACAGACTTTGTAACTTTAAGTTGTTGCTGATATATAGTATATTTTTGAAGTCGATTCCACTTTTTTTTATTAAAAGTTTAATTATTTTCCACTTTTTAGTGATCTAATGATTAAAATAAGTCCCAAGTAACAACTAACAACCAGAATGTCGTTTACATTGGCACATTAAAATCTTTATTCCTTGTTTTCCATCCTTAGTGATGAATTCTTTTTCTTTAAATTTATACGAGACCAAGCATGAAGTTTTATCCTATTTAATAAAAAAGGAATCATTAAAATAGGTTTAGGCGTTACATACGAACATACATGAAAAAACATACACGTCGAATATTGAAGCTTCTCGATTATTAGAAGTCAGTTAAAAAATTAACGTATGCACTTAAATCATTTCTATCCGTCACTCTAAAATATAGGTACAATAGTCACATTTTTCAGCGCTTAAATTAATGATACCCGACAACATTATACCAATGTCGAATGTGTTGCACAAATACATGATGTTTTTACAGATGTACTTAACGTTTAAACAGATGTACTTACGAATTGTCGTTCGTCGCACGTACGAATCGTCGAATACGTATTTAAGCGTTTAGCCTCTTAGCTACCATCGCAATCCATCGCAATATTAAGTGCTTTCCTTGCCCTAAAATCCTCAGCAATGATAGGAGACTTATTCCAGTGGGTCGCACTTAGGCTGTATTTTCTAATGCTTTTGTTGAGTGGGTATTGATTTGAAGAACTAATTTATTAACAGCTGTAAAAGTTTAAAAACTGCATGTTGTTAATGTTTGTCCATTTAGGTATATTTACATACATTTCTAACAATAGTGATCCGTCATATATCCGTGTTGTCATTTGGTGCTTTGATTGAAATAAAGCAACATTTCGTGTGGTTAACTAACGCGGGTGATTGGCCGCCTTAATGGATTTTATGTTCGTCGTGTTCGCGATGTTCGTTAAACACCTGTTGACGGACGACATTCCAAACTGAAGAATTTATTGATACATCATTATTATTTTGACTATTAAAGAATCAGTCTACAAACCGTCCCACTGCAAAGCACAAGAGTTTTCTAATTTCTGAGGGGACATTGAGTTAGAATTAGCTATGCTGTCCTAGTGTATGTGCAGTCGTAACATGTCCCCTATTACTTATTACCTGTACATTTTGTTTATGAATCACCATCTCACGATGTAATTTGCCGTCCGACAGTTGGTAAATCAACCTTTACAATTACAATTTAAATTATCAATTTAAATTGCGTTGGCATCGGGAATTTTAACGCGGGTTAGTTGTGTACTATCAAAATTTAAATGCGGCTACCCTCAGTTTCTCCTTTTTTTACTATCGCAAAACAAAATAATTTCAATAGACTTCTGATGAGCTGTTCTGTTGTAGTCAGATTAATAGGTAAAATTAAATATTGATTTATTTTATAATAATGTATTTTCTTGTAATCATCAGGCGACTTCGTGGCGTAGTGGCTTAGCAATGAGTCACAACGCTAACGGCTGCGGGTTCGAATCCCGCACCGTACAAGTATTTGTAAGACCTACAAATAATTGTTCCGGGTCTGGATGTTTGTCCCTGTGAAATTTATGTATGTAACGATACAAGAGAAAATCCTAGTGTGGAGGTAGTTTTTTAAATTAAAAAAAAAATTAATTACCGTAGTCGTAGGTACATAATCAACTTCCGTATTATAAAAATTAACAAAAAACTATGAAATAAATGTCCATGCACTTAAATTATCGTAATTCAAATTTAGATTATGGTGCAGAAAGACTAATTTTTCTGCATTTTCAGGCAGTAGTTTACTGCTTTTTTCTCTCGTAGAATCCCAGCTTTAGGGAAAAAACGCTCTAAGTAAACACTACTTCCTTCCCTGCCGAATACTTTTGCGTCATATTCGGCTATTTGAAGCTCGTAGAATATTCAATATTCGGCGAGTGGCCGAATATACTATTCGTTGCAAGTCTAAATTTGAAACATATTATGCACAACCAATTCGTAGTGTTTCTTTTCACATGACTGCTATAGCCCATGTCATATTAAGAATGGAGTTTAGTAAAATAATTTCGGGGTTAATTTAAATATCCCTAATGTAGATCAGATCGTTCATGTAGTGGCGATGGCCGTGTGGTACCGGTGTAAGTATATATACTACCCCATAACGTCCCGTGGGTGTCGTAAGAGATGACAGATGGAACAAGCCAGGAAACGGGCAGCAGCGTCTTCCTAATAACAAATATCCCCTTATGGAGCAATTTATGGCAAAAATATGGCGAAATTGTGGGTTAGATACGCTACCCCGCGTGGCACGTGTAGATGGTAGGATCATCTCTACCGACCAAACATTGCGTATACATAGTACAAATTATAATAACTTAGTTCACCAAGTTTTATACGTGGTAGAGCCATGTTGCAGCTATATTAGTAGTATAGTTGTAGCACGAATGGGTCAGCTCGAACGGGGTAGGACCACGCTCTCACATAATACCAGCTTAAAATAGCAGCTCAACACTGCTGTGTTTCGTATGGTGAGTGTAAAGAACCGGATACCCTTTTTACTGGAAAAGAGGCATTCCATCTTAGTCCTCACGGGTGACAACGCATCTATGTCTATGGGCCACAGTAACCACTTACCATCAGGTGGACTGTGTGCTCGTTTGTCACCCTATCCTATAAAAATAAAACTGCATACTTTGTAAATAATATTATTGATGATAATTTGAATAACCAACTTCTTTTTTTTTTTTTACCTCAACAGACAGACCCGGCATGTTTGACCTGAAAGGCAAGGCGAAGTTTGACGCTTGGAGCAAAAAGAATGGCACGTCGAAGGAAGACGCGCAAAAGGCATACATCGCGAAAGTGGAAAGTTTGATTGCGTCCATAGGTCTGCAGTAACAGCCAACATTGGATACCAACATAGCAGTATTTGGCTAATATGTTGGAGTGTGTGTTTTGTAGGCCGCGTGAGCGGACCTTGCACAAAGCTAGATAAATTCATAAAATATTCTGTATCTACTTTTTAAATATTTTTTCTTGTTATATTTGTCTTAGTTTGTTTACCATTCAGTTAACACGATACATAATAATAATATGTATTAAAACCAGATAATGTTATACATATAAGTAGATACTATTTTTCTTTGTAACTAAAAATAAATACATAAAATGAATGACGTCAATTTTTGTAGTTGGCAACATTAATTAAATTTTAAACTAAGATTGATTTATTATATGTTGAAAGATTAAAATATAGTTTTGAGAAACAATTTATAACAGATTAAATATTTCTAAGTATATATTTTTTTAGGTTTAAGAGGGAAAAAGACATCACAATATTTTAAGTATATTTATTTGGGACGCTTTCTTTGGCGGTGCTGTTATTTATTCTAGTTTTCTTATCAGCTGGCATGTTTGTTATTTTTGTATCCTGCAATGGAAATAAATACACTGAAACCTCTATACTTTGTTATCTTTGTACGGTTTTATTTAAATTTACGTTCCTTTCATAGTATTTACTGCTTTGCTTGAAATCTTTTAACCGATAATAACTTCGAGCTCCTCTCGCTCAGCCCATAAAAGTCCACTGCTCTAGATAGGCTTCTCTCGTTGGACGGAGACTGACAAATTACCTATTTTTTACTAAGCTACTTTCATATAACTGTACATATGGAATGACTTCATAAAAGTGACAAACAAGGTTGCAGTGAAGTTAATGGTGAGTGATTGCTGCAACCAATGGGCTCCTGCAATCTTCTTAAGAATGAAGCTATAGATATATCTCTTACCGTCGCCCATGAACATCTGTAACACCAGAGGAGTTGCATGTGCGTTTACGGTATTTTAGGAAATAGTTAGCTCTTTTCTTGAAGTCATATCAGTTCAGGAAAACCGCTAGTCACAGTAAATTCCACAACGTCGTCGAGCGTGACTGAAAATCCCTGGTGAAACGTACAACTCGTACGTACATTTTTCCGGGAGGGCCAGGCTCCTAAAAACAATGGCCGATGAAGCCCAAGCTTGATGTACACAAGAAAAGTTTAACTTGAAGTGTTGAGTCATATTTTGTGTATTTATTTTCGGAATTTTAATTTACATAAATAAATATAAAAACATTGTATGTGAATCGTTTTTATTATGATAACAGTATCAGATATTAATTAATTAAACTAACTTTTTAATAACTAATTTTGGATTGTTAACCCAACATCTTGGGATAGGCGTGTCCCATCTGACCACCCTATACCCTAAGATGTGGATGGAATTTAGGGCTACCTATGATGGTGGAATTTCGTTGCTGGAATTGTAAAGACAATCCACCGCTACATCTCATTCCGTGGGCGTCGTGAGAGGTGACAAAAGCCAAACTGATACAAAAAATGGGCAGAAGCATCTTCCTGCCTGAAAATAATAAAAAAACAGCGGTTGATAAACTTCCTGCAAAGCATGACAAGTATGGAAAAATTAGACACATCTATTTCTTGCTATATTAATTCTATTGACTGTACTGTGTAGAAAGAGTTGTGAAGAATCAAATCCAATGCAATATTTAATAAAACCGTTTCTTCTAATATATATAAAAAAATTTTTTTGTTTGTTCATATTTTACGCATTTTCATACCATTCGTCAGATACCTGTAAAACTGTCAACTTATTGGTTGCACTTGCACGAAGGTTATAGGCATAGTACAATTAACTTACAGTAGGTGGCGCGCGTATCGTACCAACAAAATTAATTTAAAGGTTAAATATGATTCAACTTAAATGAATGTGTTATATATATTCCTAATTAAACAATGTATCTAAATGTTCCAAATTTAAAACGATATTTCCACAATTCATTCCTCTGCGGTAGCAACGCGCCGGGTACCAGCTAGTCTACTATAACTAAAAGTAACTTAATTCCTAATACGTAATATAAAAAAATTATTCAGCTGTTTCAATTTAGTTTAAGTATCCGATAACGCCGCAAGCAATGGCAGGACCAGAAGTGCCAGTCAAAGCGCTGTCTTCAGTGCCAGCTCTGCCGTAATCGTCTTCAGATTTTGTGATTGCCAGTGATCTGCCGACGATGGATCGTGGACCTGCGAGCGAGATGAGATGGTCTACTATCTTCACGTTTACTGTTTCTCCTTCTGATTTTATGTTTCCTAAATCGCCAACGTGGCGAATAGGATCGCGTGGACCGCCGTGTCTGCCCTGTAAAGGAAACGGATACGGTGAGAAGTTGGTTCGGTTATAAGCATAAAATGCACACTGGAACTGGACCTCTCCCATTGTAGGAAGAATCGTCACGCTTGGTAGGCAGATTAAGATCGCAGTACCAAAGGTCTCTCACGACGAAGACGCTGCTCTCAATCACCGGCTTAGGTGTTTTACGCCTGGCGTAAAAAGAAAATTATACAGCCTTCTATGGGCAGCCTTATGTCTTCGACATTTCTCATAGTCTCTTTTTCACGACACCCACAGGACGAAGTGGGGTTATGGATTCCCTTACGCCCCTGGCGTAAAAAGAAGATTATACCGCCGTCTATGGGCGGCCTTATTTCTTTCTCACATTTCTCATAATCTTTTTTTATAGTATAAGGGTGACAAGCAAGCACACAGTCCACCTAAGTAAGTAAGTGGTTGCTGTGGCCCATAGACATTTACATATATCCTCATATGCGAATCAAAATGCAGATGCGTTGTCAGCCATGAGGACTAAGATGGAATGCCTTTTTTCCAGTAAAAAGTGTCTCCGGTTCTCTACACTCACCATACGAAACACAGCAGCATTAAGCTGCTATTTAACGCTGATATTCTGTGAGAGCGTGGTCCTTCCCCGGTCGAGTCGACCCATTCGTACTTCTACTATACAATTAATATAGCTGCAGCATGGCTCTACCACGTAAAAAGTCTCCTCTCACGACACGCACAGGACGAAGTGGGGTTATGGATTCCATTACGCCCTTGGCGTAAAAAGAAGATTATACCGCCGTCTACGGGCGGCCTTATTTCTTTCTGACATTTCTCAGTGTCCTCTCACGACACCCACAGGTCGAAGTGGGGTTATTGATTCTATTAGCCGCCACCATACAGTATATAAAAATAGTATTTATATTTTTATTAAATTAAAAATGAGGCAGGTTAAAAGTTAAGTCTGTGGTACGTATCAATGCTGGCTCAGGCCTCTCGTTTCTGAGAAGTTATGAAGTAAATAATACGCCGCGCTTCTCAAATGCGTGTCTATGCTAAACGATCTTCGTCTGGTCTTCAGAGGTCTTCAGATGACTTCAAAATATTATATCTATCAAACATGTAGGTTTCCCTACGATGTTTTTCTTCAAAGCCGAGCACTGTAAATCGGCATTTAAATTTTTATTAACAATTTCGTTGATGCCGGCGGGAAGATAGAATTTTGATTGCTAGCATATTGTATAATTTACTACTAACAAGCGGTTAACCTGAGTTTGGAGGCAGTATTTTTTTAGTATTTCTATTCTATTCTATTCTATTCATCTTAAATTCGAGATTTGAGAATCTCGGCGCTTCACCAAATTTTTTATTGCGGTTTAAGTGTTGTTTTGGCTCAGGAACAGAATCACAGAAATCGTAATAATAAGACACTATTACGATTTCTGTGAACAGAATGCTCACCTTGCGTTTTTATTTAAACGTTACCATAAAGTATTTTCTCCTGTATCGTGAGGGAAGTTTATATACATAAATTTCACAAGGACCTACATTCAAACCTAAAAAATAAATAAATATAATATATAATATAATATAATAAATATATATATAATATAATAAATTACTTGTAGGCCATACAAATACTTGTTCCGTGCGGGATTCAAAGCCGCGGTCCTTAGCGCTGCAACTCATTGCTAAGCCACGGAGCCGTTAACACATTTTACCCAAGCAAATCTGTTTCCCAGTGTCGGCATCATCGAACTTAATAATGGGCTACTACGTGCTCGGCAGTGTGGGATTATTTGAATATTAAAATAAAATATTTCTCTCTTTCATTACCCTCTCAAAAAAAAAGAAAGAAAAGCCGTGCTGTCATTTTATTAATCGCCTTTGAAACAGTAAGATGTTATCAGTCCGACTGAACTCCATTTTAATATATGTACCTATTCGTTCATTTATTAATCCATATTATCTCCGAGATTAGTTCGATTTAGCTGATTTTTTTATTTAGCGATAAATATGTATATTTTCAGTGCTTTACATTGTGACGCTCCATAATCAGATAGTTTGATAACATTGTTAATTGCAATTTTAAGTGCTGATTTACCACGTGCTCGGCGGTGGAAAAATCATCGTGAGGAAACCTGGTATGTCTGAGAAATTTAAAAAAAATCGAAGTCAGCGCGGCAGACATTTCTTCGCCTTCAATCCCTCAGAAATGTGAGGAGGCCTGTGCCCAGCAGTAGGACGTATAGAGGCTGTAATTGTACTGTACTGTACCTTAATGATAGATATTAGTTCTATTTAAGTCGTGGGGTAGGAGCGTTAGAGAATCTATAACTCCATTTCTTCCCGTGGGTGAAAAAGAGGCAATTATAGCAAACGCCGGAAACATATTCAAGCTATCGTTAGGTGGCAGTTTCGTTATACCAGACATAGAACACCTAGGCCCGTATTAATAAACGTTACTCAACGACGAACTCAAGTGCGTAATCATTTGATACGCCCTCATTACGATATCATAATCTCAAGATCGTTACCAATTAATAAACACATGAAAACAGTATCTCAAGACGCTGTACTTAGGAATACTGTTCTGTGACTTGTACTCAAGTACACACACTTGAGAGTCGAGTTTCGTTTATCAATCAGTGTAGCACTCAGCTGAGATCGTAAACCTAAACCGCATCGTTTATTAATAAGATCATAACCTCAAGATTGTACTCAAGTACGTGTACTTGAGCTGAGTAACGTTTAATAATACGCGTTAGACCCAGCAACGTCAAAGTTGCTAGATGTATGGTACTACGATTTTAATCCAAGCGTGAACATTAAGGCAATATAATATAGAGCCAGTATAATTACAGCCTCACGCATTCAATCTTACTGCTTAGAGGTGACAACTCGTCTGTAGGTCTGCAGTCTTCTTTGTTTGAAGTCGGATGCAGATGTCCATGCGCTGCAGTAGTCACTTGCCATCAGGTTGACAGTAACTTCATTTGCGACTTCAGCATTATTAAAAAAGTACTCCATATATACTCCATATAAGCCTATGTCCTCCTGTTGACTTTTACAGGCTGATATGACGATGAAGAAGATTAGCAATATTCATTTAAACTCGGTTACATTACAAACTCATAAAAGTGCACTGCTGTACATAGGCCTCCCCCAAGGAATGCCACAAAGCACGGTCCTGAGCTACCTGCATCCATCGACTTCCTGCATGTCTTACCAGATCGTCACTCCATCTAGCGGGGGGACGCTCTACACTTCGCCTGCCGATACGAGGCTGCCACTCCAAAACCTTTCTTCCCCATCGGTTCTCGGTTCTTCCAGCTATATGGCCGGCCCATTGCCACTTCAGCTTACTAATCCGTTGGGCTATGTCGGTTACTATGATTCTACTGCGGATATCCTCGTTTTTAAGTCTATCACGCAGAGGAACCCCGAGCATAGCCTGCATAGCTTGCTGAGCGACCTTGAACTTCCTCATACGGCCATCAGTGAAGGACCACGTTTCAGAGCCATAGACCATCGCTGGCAACACGCACTGGTTGAATAATCTTGTTTTGAGATAGGCCTGACGAGAAGATGTGTCGTAATCTCCCGAACGAAGTCGAGTTGAATCTGTCGATTGATCTCTCGGTCGAATTTGGACTTACCTAGTCGGACTATTTGCCCATACATACTCTACTGGTCAACAAATTCGAGCTCAGTGCTCCGGGCAACTACCGGCATAGGTGTGACATGGACGTTACACATGACTTTTGTTTTATCTATGTTTATCTTAAGACTTTTCCATTGGGAGACACAATTGAGGTCATTGAGCATAGTGCTTAGGCCCTCCAGCGATTCTGCCATAAGGAATATGTCGTCGGCAAATAGAAGGTGAATAATGTACTCGTCATTGACGTTAATACCGTATCCTTTCCAGTCCAGTAGCTTGAAAAGGTCTTCCAATGCAACGGTGAAGAGTTTCGGGGATATAACATCACCCTGTCTTACACCTTTCTGCAGGTGGATAGGTTTCGTACTCTGGTTCTGTACTCGGATGGCCATTGTAGCTACTGTACAAACACGCTGTACAAACGCTTCAAAACGCTTCGATACACCGACAGTTAACTTAGCACCGCTGAAGGGACTGCAGCACCGCCCAGCTTTCGACGGAATCAAATGCTTTCTCATAGTCCACATACGCAAGACAAAGTGTCAGATTGTACTTTTCGGTCTTCTGTACAATTTTCCGAAGGTTATGTATGTGGTCTATGGTGCTAAAGCTTTTTCGGAAACCGGCTTGTTCGGGAGGATAGAAGTCGTCGAGTCTGCTTGCGAGACAATTCGTAATGACTCTCGAAAACAGCACGTAGACGCAGTTCAGAAGGGAAATCGGTCTGTAGTTCTTCAAGAGAGCGTTGTTGCCTTTCTTGAAGAACAAGACTACCGCACTTCTGCTCCACGCCTCCGGTGTAGTGCCACCATAGACGACGGAATTAAAGAGCTTCTGAAGGACTTCAAGTACCGGTTTTCTACCCGCTTTCAGGAGCTCTGCTGTAATTTCATCCTCGCCCGTGGACTTGCAGTTTTTAAGGTGCTAGAGAGCCATTCTAATCTCACTCAGACTGTGGTATCATCGGAGTAGAGTCGGATAAGACTTGCTCTTGGATCGTTACTCACACTTGCGTGTGGCTCCAACGATGACATGTACAGCTGCCCATAGAACCTCTCAATCTCACTAGAACTCTCAGGTGTGCCGGGAACAAGGCTGCCACATTCGGTATTCAGCTTCGACAGTTGGCTCTTTCTGGCAGACAGATCTGTGGCAAAAACTTTGGAGCCCTGGTACCGCTCGATCGCTTCTTCAATATGAGCAGTATTAAAGTTGCGTAAGTCCAGTCACATGCATTTAGAGATCTGTCTGTTCAGTTGTCTGTATGCTGTCAAATCTGCTGAACTTTGCAGCTTCATTTCCCGTCTAACAGCCATTAGATTAAGAGTGTGATCGGAGAGTTAATGTGTTCTTCTGCGGTGGGTCTTGCAGAACTTTGCTCTGACTTGTCATCTCGTCCACTGCATTGCACTACTACTTCTGGAAGAAAGAGTTCATCATAAAGAGAATCTTATCCCTCTTTCTCCATGAATTTGCCCAGCTACTGGCCCCTTGGGTTCCGTTGCCCTATTCCGAATTTCCCTACTTTCAGCTCACCGTTCTCTCTTGTGCGTTGAAGTCTCCCATTAACACCTTATATTGGATTTTGGAGGAATGCTTGGCTTTAGAGATGTCCTCATACATTTTCCACTTCCTCAACGGAAGTGCCGGGGTTGGTCCGTAAACCTGTATGACCTTCAACGAATACATACATACACGAATATAACTCGTTGACACACTCACAATATTTACAACGTTGTTAACGAGAGACTTGTGGACGATAAATCCGACACCTCATTGGGACAGATGATTGCTCTCCCGTTGATAAAACAAGTTGCCGGATTCGAGGATTACCGTGTCCTTCCCCTATCTTCGGACCTCAGATAATCCTGTAATTCCAGCACTATTTATCTCTTCTTTCAGCTCCAGGATCTTCTCGTCAGTCCTCAGGGTGCGAGCGTTATATGTTGCCAGGTCGAGTCGCCTTAGGTGGCAATCGAACCTCCACCAGAGATTCTTAGCACCCCCTGCACCGCCGTCACCATGGCCGCCACGGTTAGCGGGGCGGCCGGGACTTGGAGTTTTCTTTTTTAATTCTCATCATGGGGGTATATTGCCACATAAAATATAATTTTTTTAATAATATTAAAAAAATGGTCGAGTTTAAAAAAAAGTTATTTCTACGTACGTTATCAGGATCAGTATACTATATAGAATACTGATTCTGATAACGTACTTAACGGGAACCACGGGGTTTTGTTACATGTTGTATAAAAAATCAATTTCGAATATTATGTAATATATAATGTAATAATAAAAGTGTGTACTTGAGAAACCCCGCCTGCCAAGCGCGGCAACTATGATACCACTGCCCACTTGGGCAGGCCTTTATTCAGCAATGGACTTTAAAGGCCATAACAGAAATGTATGGAAACCGATTTTAGGTAGTGATATCTCACTTCGTAGAGGCACATAACCAACAAAATGGGACACATTGCCTATTTTTACCATAAAAGTGCATATTTACCAAAAAAGTTTTCATCGTCAGAGGTCTTTTTCAGTGTGGTCTATTTCGAGTAGTTCTAGTAAGGTACACCACTTTGGTTAGTTGCACTTTTTTTGTAAAACTACATTGACAAACGAACCCACAGTCCACCTGATGGTAAGTGGCTTCTGTAGTCCATAGACACCAAACAAAGAAGGCTACACAATACAGCCTGTAATTGTACTGGCTCTCTACTTCCTTCAGACCGAAAAGCAGCAGTGCAAGCGCTGCTATTGTGCTGCACAATTTGTGCGGTAGAAGTAAGTAAGAGGGTTGTACCTAACCAGATGGACCCCTAGGCTGAAAAGACGTCCAACTACTATATACAACTATAATAATTAAAAAAACAACAAAACCAAAATAATAAAAAAACCGGCCAAGTGCGAGTCGGACTCGCGCACCGAGGGTTCCGAACAAATCCTTAGGTATATAAGTTTAAAATTATTAAAAATATTTTTATTATAATATGATGTAACTAAAAATTTATGCTTTTCACAATTTTTCCTTTATCTGTGCTATAATACGTAGCTTCGTACCAAATTTTAAGATTCTGAGTTCACGGGAAGTACCTTGTAGGTTTTGATTCCCTTGGGAATGTCGAAAATTTGCGGCATAAACGGCTGTATCTTTTGATTGCTTTGGCTTAGAAGTTTGATATTTTCGCAGCTCCAATTTACAGTAGACTTGAGTATTTGATATAAATTTCAGCTTGATACCTCCACGAGTTCCTGAGAAAAGGGGTCTTGACAGACAGACAGAAGGACAACAAAGTGATCCTATAAGGGTTCCGTTTTTTCCTTTTAAGTTACGGAACCCTAATAATTTCTAGATCACATATTATGATATTATCGCTTAACCATAAAATTATTAAAACGTAACAACCATAGTTATAGAACTCACGTAATAAGCAACGAAGTGAGGACCTATCTCCTTACAGTTGTCCTTGATAGCACCAGTCTGATGCACGTGCACACCGTGGATACCAGCCGGTAGTCCAGTTATGTTGCCATGCAATGTCACGGGGCCATTGGGGACGATCTGAGTAAAGATGAGTTCGCCAGCGACGCCTGATTCTTCATCGTCCTGTAGGTAGACTACAGCTTGGAGCCCAGGACCTGATCTTGAAGCCTGAAGATATATTCAACGCTTATAAAATATTGGAACATTTTTTTTATATAGAAGTAAGGGCAACACAGTCCACCTGATAAGTGGATACTGTGGGCAACTACATCTATCATCGATTAAGAATCAAAATGCAGATTCATTGTCATCATACTTTAGGAATAAGATGAAATGCCTGGTTTCCAGTAAAAAGGGTCTTCAGTTCTTTACTTAATATACAAACCACAGCAACATTATCCTGCTATTTGAAGCTAGTGATCTGTTTCTGTGGTTCCTCCCCGACGAGCCTAAGCATACGTTCTGCAACCATAACACAGCTTCAGCGGGGCTCTACTTTTATTGATTAATATAAAAAAAAAATTAAACACAAATTGGACATTATAGTGGCGGTGTAAGAATATGCCCTACGTATATGTATAATTTAGTTCCATGGGTGTCGCAAAAGGCGACAGAGGTAAATAAGCCAGTAAATGGACAGCAGTGTCTTCCTAATAATAACTAAAAAAGTGCTTGCTGTGACCCATTGACATCTACATCAATTCTCAATAAAGAATTGAAATGCAGATGCGTCGTCACCCGTGAGGACTAAGATGGTATGCCTATTTTCCAGTGAATAGGGTCTCCGATTCTTTACACTCACCATACGAAACACAGCAGTGTTAAGCTGCTATTTTACGCTGGTATTCTGTGAGAGCGCGGTTCTTCCCCGGTCGAGCCGACCCATTCGTGCTACAACTATATTACTAAAACTATACTACTAATGTAGCGTGACTCTACTACGTATAAACTATAATAGCAATCCAAATATGAAGCAATCAAAAATATGAAGAAGAAGATTTTCGGTAGGCTGTAAGTGTAAGGTTAAACAGACATTTTATAAAATGTTTGTCAGCTTGTGATATGCAAGTTAATATAAAGTTACCGAAAATCTTGAATCAATGATGCTGGAATGTAGTTTTCTAACTCTTTAACTTGTAAGGGGATATTAAACTGTTGTACATATTTGCCCATTAGTTTATAATTACATACGCCGAATCATTACAAGGTGGTTGTCTCTACAAAGAAGCATTTTAACGTAAAGGAAATGGTTATTACTCGTAAATTTAAAGCAATTAACCTCTGTTGATTATATCTTATTATCGTGATGTAATGACATTATGATAAACCCTGTACTGAGTCCTTGGCACGGCGGCTCGAGCGGTTCATTATGGTAGTTCACACGCTAACAAGTAAAGTTTTAATTAAAACTAGCTGTTGTCCGCTACTTTGTCCGCGTAGATATTACGCTTTAAACCAATTATAACTTCACAGTTATTGCAACGCACGCCAAAATAGCTCGCATATGACATATTTTTTCCGACATACTTAACACTTATCGTTATATTTTGACCAATTTACACAATATATTTATTAATTATAGCCTATATGTTGTGCTGGTGTATGATGAACTATATTATTGTAGTTTCATTAAAATACATTCAGTAGTTTTTGCGTACAAGTGTAACAAACATCCATACATGCTCACAAATTCACCTTTATAATATTAGTAGGATATACTTTCTCGTGGCTTTGGTCTGTGTTGCTCTCCGCTATATTATCGGATTAGGATTTTGCTAGAATATGCTCTAAGTAAACGTTTACAAATCTAACGCGTGTTAGGTGATTTACTTTTTTAAGTACTTACTTAATTGCGAGTATATTAAGAAATTAAAATTACCCACAGATATGCAACTTCGCCAATACAGGGAAGATATACGGTTTAGCAGTGAACTATAGTCATAACAGCGATCACAATAGATCTTACTGATCACAGTGATACTGCTCTTATTAGACCTGCATAGCTGCTAGCAAAATTAAAAAAAAATAACGTGTCTATTAAAATTAACTAAGAGATATCATAAACTTGCTGCTGAACATACAGATAGGACTTTTCCAAGATTGCTGTAATGAGGGCGTCCACGACTTTCTGCCACCAGGGCGACGCCATTTAAAAATGAGGTGTAATATTTGACAGATTTCATAGCGCGGAAGTTAATTTGTTCGAAAAGTGTAAAGGTTAATGTTTCTTTCTGTACTATAAATAATTATATTTTATATCAGTTATATTAAAAATAAATAAACCAAACCACAGATATTTATAAAATCGTGGTAGAGCCATACTGCAGCTATATTAATTTAACGTGGTAGAGCCATGCTGCATCTATATTAATAGTATAGTTGTAGTACGAATGGGTCAGCTTGACCGGGGAAGGACCACGCTCTCAAAGAATACCAGCGTAAAATAGCAACTTAATACTGTTGTATTTCGTATGGTGAGTGTAGAGAACCGGAGACCCTTTTTACTGGAAGAGAGGCACTCTATCTTAGTCCTCACGGCTGACAACGCATCTGCATTTTAATTCGCAAACGAGGATAGATGTAGATGCCTATGGGCCACAGCAACCACTTACCATCAGGAGGACCGTGTGCTCGTTTGTCACTTATATTATATAAAAAAATTAAAAAGTAGTAAAATTAAAAAAAGGGTTAAAAATGTGCAAAAAATTAAAGAGCAAACCACTGAGGCATTGTTTTGTGTATTAATATATTTAATACTCTAGAAACTGATAAACTTTTATTTAAAACTAACTTCTCAGTTAAATGACTTTGTGTAACAAAAAACTTCATCTCAGTGTCAACTAGTGACATCTGGTGAGCGGAAGATTATTAGCCCTCAAAAGTATAAAAACCGACATTAAAGAACTAAAATGAATATAATATAAGAATGTAAAATGTGTTTGCCCATCATTCTTTGTAAATTGAACAGTTTGATTATTTACTCTTCGATACTATCATTGGTTATTGACAAAAAATTTTGGGACCACTTCGACGAATTGAGAACCACTTCCTTTTAGGTTGAAAATGTATTAATAATTAATTTCTTTACTTCTTTATTTTTTTAAATCACTATTCCTACTCTAGGAAGTGTATCCGAGTCGTGGTGGCAAACATAATATATTACACGTGGACGAATATACAGACCCGGAACGGAATATTATTTGGACGTTATACAAAAACGTTCTAACCCACAAGTCATTCAAAAATGAGTTAGATACAGATCTACTTATTTTGACATCTTCATATGACGTAGTTATACAAAAACGTTCCAACCCACAATTCATTCAAAAATGAGTTAATATAGAGATCTAAGTACTTATTTTGAGATCTTCGCGAACATGTCAAAATAAGTAGATCTGTATCTATCTATATTTAACTCATTTTTGAATGACTTGTGGGTTGGAACGTTTTTGTAGAACTACGTCATATGAAGATGTCAAAATAAGTAGATCTGTATCTAATCATTTTTGAATGACTTGTGGGTTGGAACGTTTTTGTAGAACTACGTCCATTTGTAGAGCAGACAAATAGTTGTATCGTGTAGGATTTAAATCCGTACGGTACAGCGCCACCGCTAAACGCTTAATTGATGTGCTATTAGTGCACATGTAAGATCACGTAAATATAATTATAATTATTTATCTCTACACTATTTCAATGGTTGTTGCCTGGCATGCTTTAAATGTCCATTTGAATTTTTTTAAATGGCATCTCCATTGCAATTCATTTTTATACTATGTACCTAATGTTAGCTGTACGTTTTCCAAGTAAAATAAAAATAAAATGAATAGCTACTCTATGGTTTGGCAGCAATGGGGTAGGGTAGAAAAACTTACAGTATATATAAAATCGACAATATCTTATAGTGGGTTTGGATCCACCATTCGTCTACTTTTATGAACCTCTCATAGCCTGAGCATTTCAAGAATAGTTGGAGTGCTTAACAGGAATAATAATGGTGTTAATAGCATTATTAGTATTATTAACTGAAAAAAAAAATGGCCAAGTGCGTGTCGGGCCACGCACAATGTATAGGGTGGGTTCCGTAGTTGCCTGTCACAACATGTGGGCTTTCTTGTTAATGTGTATAATAAGTGAGTTCGGGGTTTGGCCGCTATAATGATTAAAATAGGCCCAAATAGGAGAAGATACATACATTTACAATAACACTACAAAGTTAAAATACAGCTAGTTTTTGGTCATTTTCTATGGAGTTACAACGAAATTTTTACTAATCCAAGTGTATTTTATAAGTTGGTCGCCTATTACTCGTTAACTTCTTAATTCTACTCAGCTGTGATAATTTTCCTGTTATCTTCATTACATATACTACAATTGTGAATACTTTTCACATTTACAAAACCAGCGGTTTAATTGATAGAGGGGGAGGGGGAGGACATGACTGTAATGAATAATACCACTTTAAAGCTAAATATTTCACAAACAGACCCCTGAATAGAAAAGATGTTGTTCCACACCGCCAGTGTTTTTGAAAGATCTATCTAACGATACCCCACACGATGCAATATACGGGTAAAAAAAATCATCTTCCATTTACTTGTATGGGAAGTACCCAAAATAAAAAGGTTTTTTAAAATTTTATTTCACGTGATTAATATGTATAATTATGCTAAATTACAGATTTGTAGCACCTAGGCTCTAAGTAAAACCGCGGACGGACGGATATGGCGAAACTATAAGGGTTCCTTGTTATGTAACTACTGAACCCTAAAAAAATTAAGTTTTAAAATGTAAAAGAATCACTCAATGTCGCGCCACATTCTTTTTACTCACAAATATTAATATCCGTAAATTACTAAATTACTACTAATATTAAATAATTACTAAATTTTTATATCTTTTAATGGATATATTAAAAAGACATAAAAATTTAGTAATTATTTAATATTAGTAGTAATTTTTGTTTTAACATGCGTATATTAAATTACAGATTATATACGCCTGAATTCAAGGTTATATAATATTGAAACTAGTATGGCCTGTGGTCAAAATTGTGACCAATTTTGCTTGTAAAGTAATAAAAGTTATTTTTCAGATATTATCTACATAATTGGACTATATTTATATGCAAATTTTTATTTCTTATCGCTATGAGGAAAAGCGTAAGC